AAAATGGCTGTGCCCTGGTGACAGGGGGGTCTCTGTGTCCCTTGTCCCACAGAATGCACCGTGTGTCCTCTTGGCCGCTCGCCACGCCAGCGCCACCACGGTAAGGGGGGTTCTCTGCTGTGACCCCCACCCTGTCACTGTTCCCGTGACTCCTCTGCCCTGTGGCTGCCTCTCCTGAGAGCCCTCTCCAAGGGGAGGCCGTTTGTCATCCTCTTTCTTGTCCTCATCTTTCTTGTCACCTCCTCTGCCTTAATCCCCCTCCTGTTGCTCTTCTCCAATGGGAGTTCCCTTTCCTGTCACCTTTCTTAGAGGGGGATCCTCTTCCATCTCCTGTCACCCCTTTCCTATAATTTCTTTCCAGTGTCCCCCTCTCCACTCACTCCTCTTCAAGGGGGGGACCCTCTCCCATCTCCTGTCCCCTCTCCCCAAGGGGAGCCCCCTGTTCTGTTGCCTCTTCTCCCATCACCCCCTTTCCTGTACCCACCTCTTTTCTCACCCCTCTCCAAGGGGTGTCACCTCTCCTGTCACCCCCATTCCTGTCCCCATCTCTTTTGTCACCCCCTTTCCCATCACCCCTCCAAGGGGAGTCCCCTCTCCTCTCATGTCACTCCCTCTGCTGCCCCACATCTTCTGTCCCCCCTCTCCATTGTCACACCTTCTCCTTGTCCCCCTTCTCCTGTCACCCTCCCTGTTCCTACACCTTCTCCTTGTCCCCCTTCTCCTGTCACCCTCTCTGTTCCCACACCTTCTCCTTGTCCCCCTTCTCCTGTCACCCTCTCTGCTGTGCTCAGCCCCTCTCTCTCACACCGCTGTCCCTTTGTCCCCAGAACCTCAAGGACGTTTTGGCCACCATGATCCCCAAGGAGCAGGCCAAGATCAAGAGCTTCAGGCAGCAGCACGGCAGCACGGCCATCGGCCAGATCACCGTGGACATGGTGAGTGTGGGGACACCGGGGACGTTGGGGACATTGGGGACACCGGGCACTGCCACCGGCCCTCACCGTGAGCTCCCGGTCCCTTGCAGGTGTACGGCGGCATGAGGGGCATGAAAGGGCTGATCTACGAGACCTCGGTGCTGGATCCTGATGAGGTAGGGCCCTGTTCCACCCATTTCAACCCCATCCCAGCCCATCCCACCCATTCCCGGTCCTTCCCACCCAGTCCAGCCCATTCCACCCCATCCCAGCCCATCCCGCTCATTCCCACTCCCACCTTGTCCCTGCCCATCCCATTCCCAGCCCA